TTAATATCTCACCTCAAGGAGGGCATCTCCTGCATCTCAGTGCTGTCACCTCAACCAAACATTTGTCTAGTGAGAATTTCAGGATTTCAGGTTGCAAAATGAGGGATATACAGTAATTGTTGTTTCTAAATTGATCACAATTCCCTGAAATCTAAAATGGTCACCACCCAACCAGATGTGACACAGAGATTCCACAAAAATCAAGGGCAGAATTATACAGTACTTATAATTTAATATTTAGGAGCATACAGTATATGTACAAGATAAACAACAGCAATAAAGTTTGAACAAACTATTGAAACTACTGCACAATCAGTAAAACAAACTGCTGTAAATGAGCCCAGTTTACTTTGAAACTAGTAAAACAAACAATGTCTCATGTAGTCAGAATCTCTCTATTACAGCAGTTCCTGTAACCTCTTTCCACCTTCATGGAATAAAACTGTAGTCTGAATAATAAAAATTATTCTGAGCTCCTGGAAACCTGTCTCAACCAGGACAAACAAAGAGGATTTGCTACTAGCAACAGAATGCTGTCTTTACTAGAAATCTAAATGTTTCAGGTAGTAAAACAGAAAAAAAACTTTAAGGAGAGTAAATAAGAATACAAGTTAATAGAATACAAAATGTAAAAACGGCAGGTGTGGGTAAGTCCCGGAGGAATGGATGAATTGTATACCACCCTTTTTCAAGTCAACAGAAGAGAAGATGTTTTCTTTAATCCTACAAACATAACCAATTGGATTTTCAGCAGTTTGTGATTTTTTTCCCCTGAAAAACATCCTATAAATGCACACTACAAGCTGACAAGTGATGATAGAGCAAGCAATATCACCAAAATATAAACATTTTTTTTTCATTTTTAACCGGATAACAGAACTCTTTAAATGCTTCCAAAGGCTACCCTGGCGAGCTACCCTGACAGGCAGTCCAATTAACTAGACGTGAGTATTCTCCCAGAGAGGTAAGAAACTGTAGCTCTGAAAATCCCACATCAGTGTGGACTATCTGACCCTGGGGGCTTAGAAACAGGACAGCTCGTTGTCTATATATATCTATATTACGTCTAAAGCAGGAGCCTAAAGTTCCATCCTCATTGAACTAGGCTACTAAACTGTCCTCGGCCTGGTGTACATACAACCGCAAGACATCTCCCCAGAACTCTGCCTCATCTCTTTGCATCAGAAAGCAGCTTTCCTCCAAAACTGTCCTCCCCTCCTTGTCTGTCAGAGCCTTTCTGGGCTGGGCCTGGTCCAGCTGCAGAGACAGCCAGGCACAGACCCCCGCGCCCCCGGAGGCGCAACGCGCACCCTACCTTTCCCGCCGTGGGAGAGGAATATCCACAGGAGGACGAAGACGCGCAGAGCCATCCCTCTGTCCAGCGCGGTGCAGCAGGACTCCGCGAGCAGTGGCAGCCAGCAGTGCCCAGCCCGGAGGAGGGAGAGGTGGGAGCGCGGCAGCCTTCTCATTATAACAGCGCTTCCTGCTGAAGAATGGGAGGAAGCAGATGGAAAGCTTTTGGGAAAAACTCTGGGAGAATGTTATTCATCCACTGTTGTGATTCAGCTGGGTGTGAGACAGTTCCTCAGAAAGCTAAAAGGCTCAAAAAACGCACAGCCTGACAGAAATGCGTTTCTATAAACGGCTGGTCAAAAGACCGAGAGAAACCGCATAAAACAGCCTGGAAGCAAATACTTTGAATCTTTTCTACAGTTCACATGAAGGAATCTAGTAGCGCAAACATGTGAAAAAGTGATGAAGACACTATTAATAGGACAAATGTATTCTGTCTGGGCTCTACAGAGCGCTGAGGGAAACACAAAGAACAAACTGTGCTGTGTCAAAGTACCTTAATGAACATAAACAACCCCGCTGTCCGGAGGTTATTCCAAAACATCTTTACCATTTCTTTTCAGTAGTAAATTTGTAAAAAAGGTTGTTTTTTTTGCGAGTTCCTCATAAGAGGACCTTAAAAAGAAAAGAAAAGAACTTGGTGGGGTGGAGGTGGGATGTTAAAGACGTGTGTGAGGGAGAGAGGGATCACGTACAGTATTAGGAGAGGAAATGACATCAGGAGTGATTGCTGTTTACTGACAGCCGACTCTGATTGAGCTTGGCTGTTGTCATCCCTCACGAACTTTCGTTACAAAGTCCATCTAAAAAGAGGCTATTCTAAATAACCTATATTCACATAGAATTCATTCATTAGGCAGGGTTTTAGCTTGAAGGAACAGTGGGGATGTGGGAGGATACAGGAATGATGCAGGATGGCTGAGATCTGGTAGCAGTTCTATCTCTGGAAACGACAGCCCATCCACAGAAGCCACATGGGTTCGGACCCACAGGGCCCGCAGGAGGACAGAGAGAGATAAAGAGCTCTAGACTGCTGCTCTGGGCCTTTTGTTTTCTGTGGGCCACTGCTCTACACCCAGTGACTGTTATCTGGAGATTAAGGCTTTATTGTGAGCACAGCTGCCAGAAAATAATGTAGAGATTCTGAGCAAATCTGTTCACTAATTCCTAGCGTGTCTAAAGCAAGCACAGTGTAGGGGGGCAGAGAGATTGAGATTGTTTTCCTCCAAGTGATGTTGTGTTGTGGATGGAGCCCCAGCATATTGATAACGAACAGCTCTCCAAGTGGTTCCCTCAGTCCGCAGGTAAGGAGATTCATTTCTTAATGGTTAAAGAAGGTCAGAGCTTCAAAATATGTTTGATGTGTATTCGCTTTTAAGTCCCAACTCTGGGAACTGCTTTCAAATTTATCTTGTAAGAAGAGCTGAGAAATGCAAAATTCTTTTCACCACCAAACAGAACAAGCTGTTTCAGCAGCTGCTCAAAGCTTCTGTATATGGTCAAATGTGCATTGCATTTATTAAATGATTCAAATAAATGTATTCTGATAAGCTTGTAATCTTACAATCATCACCATAATATCTAAAGGCAAATAATCAAATTAAACAAAACCTGCAACACAAATCGAATATGATTTGGATATAGGACAAATTAATTAACGAATGAGTCTAGAAAAACATCTCACAGAATGAAGAAGCACAAAATTAAAAATAAGAATAAACAATAAACCCCCTCTGAGTGGGAGTGTGGCCAGGTTAGTGCCAGGACTCGCAGACTGTGGGACGTCTCGGAGACTCTGGAGATCTGCTCCCAGCATCTCAGCAGTGCCTTTATATCAGTGTGTCTAGAATGGGGATATTTGGTTTTAGTATACTATACAATATCATCACAAGAATCTGGAAAAAGGGTTAAAACGGAAAAAAAATGAAAAAAACACATTAACATCCAATCACTCTCTAAATACTTTTACATATTCCTCTCAGGCTCTGTTTGAAGGCATATGTCTGACAGAGATGAACCGCTCCTCTGGTATTAACTTAGGATTCCATTGCTCAAAGACAAAGCACAGCATCGTCTTGAACAGCTTCTGCTTGCAAACATGCTGGGCATTTCCACTCAAATAATCCTGGCATTTCTGCACAGCATTCCTACATTCAGGAACTACACACAAAGCATATTCAAATTCCGAGTCAGCTAGAGAGCAGCCAGTACAGACACATTAGCACTAAGAACTGAGCCATTGGAAACCAGTACAGACAGCTGTGTCTCCACAAACACAGGAAAAAAACACTTGTCCTTTCAGCACAGTCCAGACAAGGCACTAATAATTGGGATTCCACAGACCTGAGGGGACCCCTGCTTTTATAGCAGGTATTGTTTCGGCTGCAGTGTGAACTTTCAGCTCTTTTCTCTAATTGTTTCACACCAGAGTGGCTCATCTTTATTCATTTCCTTCCAGAGTGCCTGTTTGTCACAGGCCCGGTGTCACAACTTCCTGCGCTGGTGCAACGCATTGTTCCACTTCAGCACATCTGCTCAGTGCTGGTTCTGACACTCGTCTGGGCTGTATTGACACATACAGTATGTTTTCAAAAAAGTGATTTCAAAATTCATAACAGGATATTATACTGTACGTGTATAATATATTCTATGTGATACTATTATATGTGTAAATAAAACAATTATATGTGTAAATGCTTCAGTCCGCTTTCAATTTCCCATTTGCTAATAAAGCTGTATTTTTCATGTTACATATTGCAGGATTTGGAAACATTTTTTTCACAGAAATAAATTCCACAGCTTCCAGGAAGACATTTCCTCTAGAATGAAGAAATTCTGCTAGTTTAACACTTCAAACTCGAGCCCCGAGGAGAGGAAAGCACTGCTCCCACTTACAGCCCTTATAAACTACACGTGCCTCAGCGCTAGGAAGCCTGTCCAGGAGTGTGAACAGGTCTGCATCGAAAC